CTCGCATCGGAATCCGAACTGTTCGTCTGGAACTACTCGGAGTTCTTCGGTTTCGTTCTTCAGTCTTCGTTCGATTACCCTTTCCGCAATCTTGCTCAATGCCGTCAACAGGCTTATGGGTCTGTAGTTTTGGGGGAACCTTGGGTCTTTCCCAGGTTTAGGTATGTTGATCACCTCGGCTACTTTCCAGTGATCTGGAAAGTACCGGTGTCTCAGTATGGCGTTGACAATGTTGGTAATTGCCATTATCGTTTTCCTCGGGGTCTCTTCAGGACTCTGTTCCCAATTTCGTCTACACCCGGTGCTTTCTTCACCTTGAGTCTTTCGATGATTTCCCTTACCTCGCCTGGAGAGGTCATGTCTTCGCTCTTCCTCCTCTGACAGCTCTCCTCGATCTTCTCATCACCTCGTCGATGAAGTCTTCGTCTTCATCGGGGTGAGTATTGAGAGTACACTGTCTCTGAAGGTTGTCGCAAAGGCTTCTGCCTTCTCTTCGGTTGTGTACACCATCCCCTGTTCGCTGTGTATTGGGGGGATGGGCTGTCGTCTGTTTCTGAGGATTTTGGCCAAGTTACCACATTCCTGGGTCAGCTGGAGATAGTTCGTCGAGTTTCTTATCCCAGGTGCTCTGATGGTGCTGCTTCAAGCGTCTCGTGCCTGTCTCGTAAGTCTGTTTGCCACCATGATGTCCGTGGGGCTTCTGGTCTCCTGGGCTACTCTTCGGGCTCTTTTCTTTCGGTGATCTTGCGATTTACCTCGTCAGGTAGGTCCCTGAACCTGTTTGGTTGCGTTAGTCTTCCACGGTGGTTGCGGCTTCTAACGCAGCCTTAATCTTCCTTTCTAGGTCCGTGACCGCTTCTTCTATGCCTTCGGGGCTTTCGATCTGTAGTAGTGGTCCTTGTGAATAGTGCAGTCTGGTTCTAAACCGCTGCCCAATTCACTCTCTTCACTGTTCTTTGTTCCAACAGGTGTTATCCCATCTCCCATACAGAGAAAGATGGGGGTTGTGGTCTGAGCTTCCCTCTTGCATGGCGCCGATGGTGGTGCGCATGTCGATTTCCTTCAGAATCGCCATATCTATGACGTCTGGTCTACCTCCGTTGCTTGGGTATATTGTAGGTTCGTCCGGACCTATCATGGTATATCCAGGTTCATCCATTAGTCCTTTCCAGAACAGCGCCGTGACTGTTCTGTTTCTTGAGGCCCCAAAATGGTGGACTTCGCGTTTAGATCACCTACGATCACGGTACTGTTTCCCAGTGCAGTGATACAGGTGACATCTTCCAGATATATCGTCGATGTGGGTGGTACGTACATCGAAACGATGTTCAGAGGGCCTTGGTCTGTTGTGCGTACCGTCACTCCTACGGCCTCTGCTGATCTTAGTTCTGGCAGTCCCAGTTCCCAGTGGGTAATGCTGGTCTTGACAGCAAGTAGCACCCCACCTCCGGTTCTGTTCCGGTCCTTTCTGTATGTCGTGTATCCCTGTATCGTCCAGTGTGGGATTTCCCCAGAGAGCCACGTTTCTTGTAATGCCATTACATCATAGTTTCCTTTGTTAGGACTTCGCCTATCTCATATTTCTTGTTGGAGACGCTGTGGACGTTCAACTCAATATCTTCAGGCCCCTATTTGCAATGGTTATTGGAGTGCCCATTTGGAGTTTTGGTCAGTGCTTCCCTCTGTTTAGGCGTATTTTTGCTCCAGATGAGCGAAATACGCCTTTTTGGCCGCCGGGTTCTTCATCACCAGTGACATCATTTGTGATGCGTGCTTGGTGGCGAAATCGGTCAACTCCTCGACGTCGCTGTCTTTGGCACTGCTGGCCTGAGCGACTGGGGCCACTTTAGTTGCCCCAGCTGTCGTCGACGCATAACTACGGCCCTCCTGGACTGGACTAGGCCTAGTTATGGTTTTGGGTGCTGGCGCTGCTCGCGCTGTGCCCCTTGGTGCCGTCTTTTTGTCCCTTGGCCCTGCACTCGGCCTCTTTGGGCATCCTCCAAAGTTTGCGGGATGCTCTCCCCCGCAGTGATACATTTCGCGGGTTTTTCATTTGGGACCTTGCAGTCCGCCGCTCTGTGTTTTCCTGCGCATCTGACGCAGCGCGGCTCTCCCGTGCAGTTCATCTGGCTGTGGCCAAATTGTTGGCATCGGTAGCACTGACCTGGTCCTGTCTTCTTCTTTAGTGCCTCCACTTGGATCACCATGTGCAAACGGCGTTTATTTGTAGATCCCCGTCTCTTCCTTCGGGAGATCTACTTTTACCAGCGGTTATGGTTTTTCCAGTCCTCCTGCTGGTCATCCTGTTCACCGTTTTTGGGTGGAAGCCTTGCCTGGCCAAGTCTTCTGCGATCTCTTGGCAGGTGGTTATTCTCGGTATTCCCCTTATTACCACTCCCAGTGGCTTATCTTTCCGGTAGGGAGTAGGTATGATGCTCTATCTTAGCATCTTCGAGCGTTTTGCGGATCTTTCTATAGTCCTCGCTGTCCTTCGGCTGGACTTTAATGCCTACTCCGGTTAGCGTGCAGGCTTTTCAATTGTGAGCAACTTCTTGCTCACTACCTCTTTCCACTGTTCTTCCCTATGGATGTACAGTGGTGGGGGCCTCTTTTCCTTTTCTTGTTTCCCTCCGTCGAGGGTTTGGGCGTGGAGGACTGGTCCATCTTTTCCACTTCGGCCGGGGTCTTTGTTGCCGATGTGGACGCTTGCTCGTGTTTGAGTGCCTTTTTCCTGGGGGCTTCATCTTTCTTGCCTTCGTCTGAGGAGGTGCTATGCCTCCTCTTCTCTTTCTTTTGGCTCTGAGCCTTTTCCTTGGGGGCATCGATCTCGATGCCCTGTTTTGCTGCCAGTTTCTCAATCAGCCTGGCAGTTCTTTCGCGCTCTTCGGCGCTTGCCCTTCTTTCTTCTATCAGCTGGCGGGTTAGATCCGTCAGCTGGCAAGATAGCTCGGCTATCTGCTTCTTAAGGGCGTCATTCTCTTTTCTCAGTTTCCTGAGAAAGCCCCTTCTCGGTCACCCTCTTCGTCTTCGCTGGACGATGAGTAGACGTTCTCTTCGTCGTCCAGCATTTTCTCCACGGTTTTGAGCGTGTCCCGCTCTACCTCGCTCTCCTCGTCCGACATTTCTCCTTCGCTGTCGACTTTTCGCAAAGTTCGACTTTTACACAATTTCCAGTTGTGCCGCGCGCGCTGGAAACTGTGTAATTTTTGTGCACTGGTGCCCTTTCGGGCTCACTGCACTTCGCGGGTTTTTGTTTGCGTCCTTTTTCGCGATGTTCCCCTTTTACACAATTTCGACGAGTGGAAACTGTGTAAAGGTTTTTCGGTACGCCCGGTTTAGGCTTTGCCTTTGGGTGGGCGTCACCCTCGCGTGCCGGCGCTTGTTCCGCGTCTCCGCGCGTCGGTCGCGTCTCGGTCGCGCGCGTGTCGCGTGGTCGCTTGTCGCGTGTCGCGTGGTCGCGTGTCGCGTGGTCGTGTGTCGCGTTCGGTCTCACTATCCTCGGCGTGGTTCACTGGTCGGCTGCTGCACTACGAATGATGGAGAATATGATGGTTCTGAAAAGAACCGTTTTTTTTTTTATAACCTATTATCGCACGCCGTACTCTCTCTCTCTCTCTCTCTCTCTCTTTCCGGCAAATAGTAAATCCGTCAATTCCATTAGGCACGTTCGCCCCTAATACGTCTTGCCAGCTGTATATCTTTCGGCATGATCGTTACTCGCTTAGCGTGGATCGCGCACAAGTTCGTATCCTCGAATAGTCCGACCAGGTACGCTTCGCTAGCTTCTTGGAGTGCCATTACAGCAGAACTTTGGAATCGCAAATCGGTCTTGAAATCTTGCGCTATTTCACGGACCAGCCGTTGGAAAGGCAATTTTCTGATCAACAATTCGGTACTTTTCTGATAACGACGAATTTCTCTGAGAGCCACAGTTCCCGGACGATAACGGTGAGGTTTCTTAACTCCGCCAGTAGCAGGAGCACTTTTACGGGCAGCCTTCGTGGCTAATTGCTTCCTGGGAGCTTTACCTCCGGTGGATTTACGAGCCGTCTGCTTGGTTCGCGCCATTACGTTAAATTTCAGATAACTGAATATAAATTATCTATATAGCAGCGACGTGAATATTGCAACGGACAATATTATAGTGAGCGGAGGTAAACACCGCGAACAGTTATATTTATATGGGCTCGAAATACGAAACAGTCTGATTGGCCAATTGATAGACCAATAGGAGGGACGACAACGCTAACAAAACCGGGCGTCACGAGAGACGTACCGTCAGTTGGCAACAGCCCGTTCGCTTTAACAGTTCGACGTGCGAGAGAATCTTGAAAAATGACTGGACGCGGTAAAGGTGGTAAAGGATTGGGAAAAGGAGGAGCGAAAAGGCATCGTAAAGTTTTGAGGGATAACATCCAGGGAATTACGAAACCGGCCATAAGAAGATTGGCGCGACGTGGAGGAGTAAAACGTATATCCGGATTGATTTACGAAGAAACTCGAGGAGTGCTCAAAGTCTTTTTAGAGAACGTAATCAGGGATGCAGTCACTTACACCGAGCACGCTAAAAGGAAGACTGTCACTGCAATGGACGTCGTATATGCATTAAAGAGACAAGGACGCACTTTGTACGGATTCGGTGGTTAAACACTCCGCAGCAATTACCACGGTACAGGTTGAACGAAAATACAATACAAAGAAAAAAAAAACGGTTCTTTTCAGAACCACCATATACTCTCGTGAGAAAGAATGGATCTGCCGATTGAACCGCCACATTAATTTTCTATTTTTTTTATACAAAATAAAAAGAAACACTCACATAAATGAGTTTATCGGAATATGAGAAATTGATCGACTTATACGTTTTGGCTCTTTGAATTACAATAATCGACGATTTCGGTCCCGATATGTCCCATTATCGAGATACCGGCGAATATTAGACGTGAATGCGACGATGAGATGCCTCGATTAAATAATTTAGTTATTGCCAACTTCTCGCGCCACAACCGATCCGATATCACCCTGAGAAAATTTTTCCATATACAAATGATAATCCCTTCATTTTCTTATTAAATTACTTGTTGGCCCTGAGAAGGGCCGATTGTATGTTCAGAAGATTTTTTTTTTAGGCTTTCTTCTCCGTCTTTTTCGGCAAAAGAACAGCTTGGATATTAGGGAGAACTCCTCCTTGGGCAATTGTGACGCCTGAAAGCAATTTGTTCAATTCTTCGTCGTTTCTGATGGCCAATTGCAGATGACGTGGAATAATACGGGTCTTTTTATTGTCGCGAGCAGCGTTGCCTGCCAATTCCAAAACTTCAGCGGCCAAGTATTCCATAACGGCCGCTAGATATACGGGAGCTCCGGCACCGACGCGTTCAGCATAATTCCCTTTTCGCAATAACCTGTGGATACGACCGACGGGAAATTGTAGGCCGGCCCTGCTGGATCGGGACTTTGCCTTTCCCTTAACTTTACCGCCTTTTCCGCGTCCTGACATATTCAATTTGTTAATCTGCTAAACGAACGACGTCGACTATGAACTTGCAAATGCACAACATGATCTCCGCGAACGTTGTATTTATATGAACTAACCGACCAATCGACGCGAACGTTTGCCGGCAAACGCCTGGGGGCGGAGTCTACGGTCGTAACGTCACCTGTCTTAAATACGGCCAGAGAATTGCAGTCGTTCCGTTAGTCGAGCGTTGGTGTCGATTATACTCAGCATCATCTCACAATAAAATGCCACCCAAAACTAGCGGTAAGGCTGCCAAAAAAGCGGGCAAGGCGCAGAAGAATATCTCAAAATCTGACAAGAAAAAGAAGCGCAGGAGGAAGGAAAGTTAAAGTTACGCAATTTACATCTACAAAGTACTGAAGCAGGTACATCCCGATACGGGTATATCCAGCAAAGCGATGAGCATCATGAACAGCTTCGTCAACGATATTTTCGAACGTATCGCTGCGGAAGCTTCCAGATTGGCACATTACAACAAACGTGCCACGATAACTAGCAGAGAAATTCAGACAGCCGTACGACTATTGCTACCGGGAGAATTGGCCAAGCACGCAGTCAGCGAAGGTACCAAAGCCGTCACCAAGTACACCAGTTCAAAATAATATAGACGTTGTATTCGCTTCGACGGTTATACGGTTCGAAAAATAAGAACAAAAAAAAAACGGTTCTTTTCAGAACCACTATGTTATGATAAAATGCAAAATGATAATTAGCTGTGGTCGTTATTTTAATCTTTTCATCTATCTCTCTCTCTCTCTCTCTCTCTCTCTCTCTCTCTCTCTCTCTCTCTCTCTCTCTCTCTCTCTCTCTCTATATATATATATATATATATATATATATATATATGTATAGAAGAAGTCCGTAATATCTGGAAGATGTCACCTGTATCACTGCACTGGGAAACAGTACCGTGATCGTAGGTGATCTAAACGCGAAGTCCACCATTTGGGGCTCAAGAAACAGAAACAGTCACGGCGCTGTTCTGGAAAGACTAATGGATGAACCTGGATATACCATGATAGGTCCGGACGAACCTACAATATACCCCAGCAACGGAGGTAGACCAGACGTCATAGATATGGCGATTCTGAAGGAAATCGACATGCGCACCACCATCGGCGCCATGCAAGAGGGAAGCTCAGACTACAACCCCATCTTTCTCTGTACGGGAGATGGGATAACACCTGTGGAACAAAGAACAGTGAAGAGAGTGAATTGGCAGCGGTTTAGAACCAGACTGCACTATTCACAAGGACCACTACTACAGATCGAAAGCCCCGAAAGCATAGAAGAAGCGGTCACGGACCTAGAAAGGAAGATTAAGGCTGCGTTAGAAGCCGCAACCACCGTGGAAGACATAACGCAACCAAACAGGTTCAGGGACCTACCTGACGAGGTAAATCGCAAGATCACCGAAAGAAACAGAGCCCGAAGAGTAGCCCAGGAGACCAGAAGCCCCACTGACATCATGGTGGCAAACAGACTTATGAGACAGGCACGAGACGCCTTGAAGCAGCACCATCAGAGCACCTGGGATAAGAAACTCGACGAACTATCTCCAGCTGACCCAGGAATGTGGAACTTGGCTAAAATCCTCAGAAATAGAAGACAGCCCATCCCCCCAATACACAGCGAACAGGGGATGGTGTACACAACCGAAGAGAAGGCAGAAGCTTTTGCTGACAACCTTCAGAGACAGTGTACTCTCAATACTCACCCCGATGAAGACGAAGACTTCATCGACGAGGTGATGAGAAGATCGAGGAGAGCTGTCAGAGGAGGAAGAGCCATCGAAGACATGCCCTCTCCAGGCGAGGTAAGGGAAATCATCGAAAGACTCAAGGTGAAGAAGGCACCGGGTGTAGACGATATTGGGAACAGAGTCCTGAAGAGACTCCCGAGGAAAGCGATAATGGCAATTACCAACATCGTCAACGCCATACTGAGACACCGGTACTTTCCAGATCACTGGAAAGTAGCCGAGGTGATCAACATTCCTAAACCTGGGAAAGACCCAAGGTTCCCCCAAAACCACAGACCCATAAGCCTGTTGACGGCACTGAGCAAGATTGCGGAAAGGGTAATCGAACGAAGACTGAAGAACGAAACCGAAGAACTCCGAGTAGTTCCAGACGAACAGTTCGAATTCCGATGCGGGCATTCAGCAGAGCACCAGGTCCTAAGGCTGGTCGAGATGGCAACGAAATCGTTCCAGACTCGGCGGGCCGTGGGAGCTGTGTTCATGGATGCCGCAAAGGCGTTCGACACTGTTTGGCATGACGGACTGATCTACAAGATGGTAGACCTCGGATACTCAAAGGGGATGATCCAACTGGTGAAGTCCTACTTGAAGCACCGAAATTTCCGAATTAGGATCGGTAAAACAACCTCGACGACGAGGACTGTGGAGGCAGGAGTACCGCAGGGAGCGGTTCTACCACCCCTGCTGTATCCAATCTACAGCTCAGACATCCCGAAGACTCCTCAAACGCAACTGTATGTGTATGCGGACGATACAGCATATGCGGCAGAAAGTACGAGACCCCGCATGGTTACGGAATATCTGCAACGAGCGACCACCAACCTAGAGGAATGGTGCATCAAGTGGAAGATCCGCCTCAACCCCGAGAAGACCGAAGCGGTACTGTTCCGAAGAAATCGAAGATTACCTCAGACCAAAATAAAGATGACGACCACCAGAATGGAGAGAGGCTGGAGAAGAGATGAAGAGGTTGAGGTCGACTGGAAAGACTCCAGCACATACCTTGGAGTCAAGATGGACCAGAAACTCACTTGGAAGAACCATGTCGAAGACCGGGTGCAGAAAGTGAAGATGGCACGCTCCAAACTAAGACCCTTAACGGGCAGAAGAAGCAAAGTGTCACTAAAGAATAAGACCATCATGATTCAGATGGTGCTGCTACAAATCATGACTTACGCAGCAGTAGCTTGGGGCTACGTTTCCAAAACGATGAAGAAGAGGCTCCAAGCTCAACAAAACATGGCACTCCGTGAAGCGGTGGACGCACCGTGGTATGTACCTAACAGAGTGCTATATGACGAACTACGACAGGTACCGGTCGTAATCCAGATGAGAGAGAGGGCCAGAAAGTTCTTTGAAAAGAAATGTGCTGATTGAAGCCGCCTTGGATTACGACCCAAGAACAATAAGGCGTCATAAAAGACCGAAAAGCCAGCTGCAACAAGAAGATATTTGGCCCTAGCAGCTGATGAGGCCAAAGAAAAGGGGAGAAGACCGACAATAGTTGTACACCCAAGAGGGGAAAGAACAGCCCGTGTACAACGGGTGGACAAAAAGAAGCCTGTCGATTGAGGTGGCCAGAGTCAAGCACGGACTCGGGGCTAACCTCAGGAGACGAATGACTTACAAAATGACTGACTGACGACGACTGACTGACGCCAGTCGACGAGGAAAGAGCGAAG